ACAAATGAATTTGACAAAGAAARAAGTTTACTGATAAATTACCACACATTCTCAAGCAGAGGATGAAAGAATTCCAAATAGTAACTTAGAGTATGRTGTTTTACAGTCTTGATATTTGAAACCTGTGAGGAAACAAAACTGCTACATAAGTCAGATCTCCAGGAACAGGTTTCACTCAGCTTACACGGTTTTTCTTGCCATGCCACTTTTCCAGATGCTTCTTTCTGTCCTATTTCAATACTCCCTTAGTACTAAAAAACAAGTTACATTTTATTGACAAATCAGAATGATCACGTGTTATCGTCTCATGTTTCTAAACACGAAAACCTCTTTTCTTCTTAACTGCTTTAAGAGCAAGCTAAATCCATTATGCTGGTGGCCAACTACATGTTACCTAAGTGCAAACAATTTTGTACTCGAAATACATCAGTCTCTGTGAGTTAAACAAGTGAACTAACTTTGTCAGTAACCTTTTGACAAGGCATAACACAAAGCAATTAATGAGATCACCAAGGCAAAACCAATAAACCTAACAGTCCAAAAGAAGTTAGAAAAACCACTGTAGCCCAGCTCTTTCTTTAACCAGCACGTAATTCTGGACCATGACAAAGCACTGCCATCTTCCCCTGGATAGCCAGGTTATAGTGTATTTGAAAAGGGAGACCTAAATTTAATCAACTGGCTTCACTGCAGACCTTCCAAGACATTTACAAATACTCAGTAACCTAAATCACCTTGACAAAACAGCTCATAATATAACTTTTCCATGTTGCTCTAGCAGGCAAACATATAGTTCATTTCTTTAAGCCATTACAGCAATAGTGTTCTTTCACTTGATACCTTATTCATTAATTCTATTTATTTTCTCTAGTCCCTAGCTCAAGGTTACACAGCTCTGCAACCAACCATCTATTCAGCTGCTTTGTACATGAAGACTATTTATTTCTCTTTAGACTAATAGAAATTATTTAACCTGCCTAACAGATTTATACCATAAGTCTTTAAAATTGTCTTCAATACATACTGGAAAACTCTGTGTTTGGCTTTCATTTGTTTCTTGAACCTGCTTTATAACCCTCTATTTTCATACGAGAACTTGGCCTACAAAGAAATTAACCAGCAAAAAGTCAAGTCAACTCATAATCTGTGTTCTAAACACATTTGAAGGCAAATTTTTCAAATAAAGCAAGAAAAAAGGAAAAGGAAAGGCATATCAGCAAACGGCAAAGGCCAGCAATGTGCACTGGAAAAACAGCTACTCCAAACCTACAGTGGTCCATTTTAAATTCTGCAAAATACATTTTTACTAAACAAAATTAGAAAGCTTTAAATTTAAAAAAAAAAAATAAAAATAAAAAAAAAATCTATTTTTACCAATCAAGACGGGGGGAAGGGAAGTCAAACTCTTAATTCTTTCAATTTGAAAGTAGTAGAATTACTGGAATCAAAGTTATTTTCATATGAGTGTATGGGACCATGGCTTCTCTATTTACTAGCTGAATATATATTTTATTGTCTTCCTATGCTTATTGTGATTTTGCACAGAAATGATCTGTATTTTGCAGAGCCTCATTACTAGAGAGTAGCTCCTAATACAGACCGAAATAGCTCCAAAGTACCAAAAGGAAATCTTGTATCTTTCCTCTACGCAACATCCATACACATAGCAGTACTTCTCTGGTAGTGCCCCACCCACTTACATTTAATCTAAGCAGATGGGTAGGTGTAACCAAATTTGGAAAAATGTAATTACTAATCTATACTGCTAACTGAACTAAATGTGTGATCACATAACATAATAAAATTTACACAACAATGTGTAAAATTTACACAACAAATGACACAAATTTACAACAAACAGGGCTCTGGAAACTAGTTTAGGATGAAAATTGTAGGAAGCAAGAGACTGTCTGCTTATTTTCTCAACCATGGTGTTTGGTTGAGAATTTTTTTTAATCCAGTCATCTTACTAGAAAAATAAATAGAAAATATATCATAAGTAGAAAAATAAATACCTCATACTTTTGGAAGAATTTCCATTTTGAAAATACACAAGTGCTACTTTAGAACAGCTCTGTTACGCCATCCACCAGAAAACAGAGTAATACCAATCCACCAGCAGCAAATAAAGTTTTGTCTGACAAGTGAAAACAGATCAAACAGTTTATCCAAAACACAAATTTTTCCTGCTATTATAATGGAAAATTATAATTAGTCTACCATTTAAAGAGAAATAACCAAGTGTGGACCACATCCAGTGCCCTTGCTTCTCTCCAGAACCCACAGCAAAGCAACATCATCTAAAAAGAAGCTAAGTCAGTACTGCAATTCAAACCTCACAGCAACACACTGCTGCTGCTTCAAATGAGCAAAGCTGATTTCACTTGTTTCTCTTCAGCTGTTTACTAGAAGTTTCTCCTTAAGCAGTTCAGACACCTAAATTAAAAAATCCGCACTAGACACATGGGCTTTCCAAGCATGCTAGAACTGCTTCGTAATCATTTTCTACATATCAGAATAATTTTCTACATATCAGAATAATTCTTCTTAATAATAAGAAGACACCTATATGAAGAGCCAAAGACCTATAGAATGAAAAGAGCAAAAAGACAGGCTGGAATACCCAGTCACAAACAAAGTGCCTGGACATCATTACAGCTGGATACAAGCCCAGAATTAAGCCTTTAAATCATACAGATGAAGAACACAGGTGTTGGAAGAAGCTGTTGCCTTCATGAAACTGTAATATTCTGTAAGTCTAAGGCCACTATATCATTATCAAATAGGACACCAAAAACGATCAGCATTTTGGTTGTAGTACTACAGAGTCACACAATAAGTGATTAAGACATAGTTTTGAATGGTTAAAAAAGGAAGTATAAACCCCACTTTTTTACTTCCCCACCACCACTGTAATAACACATAATGCTCAATAGTTGTATGGAAGGAAAAAAACCCACCAGCTTTCATTTCTCCACAGCAGTTAAACATTACAAACAACTGATTTTTATCTTCACACTCTTGGTTTCTTCTGTTTTCTATGCAAGTGACATTTTTCTATTGAATGCCCCATTAGGACAGACCTTTCTTTCTACATATAGAAACCTCTTATTTTCCCTTTCATTCCAATCCCTCTCCTGTAAACCTGACAATCTGCATTTGTCTGTAAGTAGCTAAAAACTGAATGCAAATTACAATTCAACTGGAGGGAGGAAGAAAGGCGGGAAGTCACAAAGCTAACTCCAAGAAACAGATTTGCAAGCTCAAGAAAGATTTACTCACCACAGACTGAAAACCAAAATTGGGAGATTAAAACTCTTATGCTTCAAATCATAGGCCCACTAACAAGAGAAAAWAAATAAATACAACACTCCTACAAAGCTCTACTACAGCCCAATTAGTCAGTGCATAAGACAGAACCATGAATTTAACTGAGCTGTCAATCTGACTGTTCCTAAATGCTGAGCTACTCCTAAACACAAACGTCACATACATAATTCTGTGCATCATTATTAGCTTTCTTATTCCAGGATATAAGCAACTACAGAAAATAATTTGATTTCTAGGATGTTTAAATCAAACTATGGACATAATATTCCTGCTATGCTATTATTCAAATAAATTTGAAAGTGTATTTTAACCACTTATAATAGACTCTCACAAAAGAACAGCATGATGTTTTCAAAACAATTACAGTGTTTTCTTCTTGAAACACCCTACTGCTTACAAAATTATTCCATACAACCACACCTTTAGACAACCRCAATTTTTATCCCAAGGCACCTTTACTCTCTCTCTCTCTGAACAAAGAAGGACACAGCTTTGTCACTTCAGTCTTTGAAAAACATTTGATGCACACACAGCAGACTCTACCAAGAGCCAGTGAAACACAAGAAAAGCTTCACCATGTTCCCTGGATACACTACAGGACACCCCAAATGGTAATCAACACAAAGTGCTCATTAGAAACACCAGAGAACACCTCTCAGACAACACAAGGTAATGCCTTGTAGAAAATATTCTTGCCAGTAGAATAATTTTAAATATATCCAGCAATTTGCTAAAGTCCAGATATGAATTTAAGTAGGTCTACAAACAATGAGGCAATAAGTAAGATTCCAATATAGGAGATAAAAATTTTCACTTMTAAACCATACTAAACAAATACTTATACATTTCCAGGGGACTTTTCTGCAGATTAAAATATCCTGAAGAGCTTTGATTCCACAACATGGTCTCTATCTGATTAGAAAGACATAGTCCACACTCCCTCTTCATGCAAAATTAAAAAACTCACACAGTGCTGACCTTTACAACCCGAGTTCCCATTAATGCTGAAAAAAATTCATCTGCAAGCATACATTAATTATATACACATGCATTACCCTACTAGGAAAGGAGCTTACGTATGTTTTTCATAGGTTGTGTAAAGCACAAAAGACAATTTATCAAAACTTGACATTGATTCAATTTTCTAGCAAAACAAAAAGCCCAAGTCCTTCTATACACCTCTAAAAAGAACAAGAAAACACTTATAAACATAAATTATCCATCAGCTTGTTTTCTCTTTAGAATAACAGAAATTAAACCAAAACCAAGTATGTTTAATATGTATCCTATTTTATGGGGGAACTGGTTACATAAAAAAGTCTATCCTCCAAGAAACAACTTCCTTCGGTCACTCTCATCTGAAAATGTTCTCGTGCTTTTCAACATTTAAAATTCTTTTTCCAGCTAGGTSGTCTCCCACAGAGAGACACACGCCACCGAAGTGTTACAGGCACCTGCACTTCCTTTTCCCCAGGAGAGACAGGACAGGAAGAGCCTTGCACTTGTCCTCCCCTTCCGCCCATCCCAGCTTTCTGGCAGCAAAAGGGGGGGATTGTTGCTGGATGCAACCCTCTCCGGCCTGCCCTGTATTCCCAACCCAGCCATTACTCCCCTCCTCCATACACCTGGCCCCCTCCCCATTCCGCCTTTCCCCCCGGGCCCGGACTCACCGGATAACAGGACTGTAGGGGCTCCGCGACCGGCGCCAGCTGCTGTAGGGACTGGGCGACACATCCCCGCCGCGCTCGTAGGAGCTGTGCCGGCTGTAGCTGGGGGAGCGACGGCGGCTGTAGGGGCTGAGTGGCGAGCGGGCGCCCACCGGGCTGAGTGACTTGCGGCTGCGCTGGCTCTGCGAGGAGCGGTGCAAAGGAGGGCTGTCATCCCGGCCGGGGCTGGGCGACGAGCGCTGCCGCCGATACGCTTTGGGCTCGGGCTTGTCGTCCCGGTAAGCTTTCGGAGGGTCCTTGTAAGCCGACGGCGGCTCTTTGGCCGCTTTAGTCCGGCTCCGGTGCTGTCTGCTCTCCCGGTCTTTCCTACCGCTGCTGGGCGACGCGAGGGAGCCCTTCCTGCGGCCGTCGCTGCCACCGCCGCTGCTGCTGCTCTTATGTCCCTCCCGGTCTTGGCTCCCAGTGTGGTTATGACGACTGCGGGATTTGGAGGACGAGGAGGGCTCGGATGCCCCGCGGCCCGGTGCCGCCGCCCCCTCCTGCTGCGCCTTCTCCTCTCCCCGCCGGCGATGCTCCCGATGCCGCTCCTTGGAGCGCCCGCTGCTGCCGCGGTGTTCCCGGCGGGACCGGCCGCTTCGCTCCGCCTCGCTCCGCTGCCGCTGGGTCCCACCGCCCGAGGAGGAGCCCGGGCTGCCCCCGCCGCTGCCCCCGCCGGCCGCGCCGCCGCCCAACAGCCCCTCGGACTGGGAGCTCACGTCGTCGTACTCCTCCACCAGCGTACTCAGGCCGCCGCTACCGCGCCGCTTTTCCGCCTCCTGGGTGCCCCCCCCGCCGCCGCCGCGGCCCCGCCGCCGCTTGTGCCGGGAGCCCGAGCGCCGCTTGCCCCGCGGTCGCTTCCGCTCCCCGCCGTCCCCGCAACAGGAGGAGGCGCCGGTGGCCGCCAAGAAGAGCAGGGACTGTGGCGGCAGCGGGGGCTGCAGCAGCGGGGGCTGCAGGAGCGGCGGCTGCAGGAGTGGGAACAGCAGCGGGTGCGGCGCCGGCGGGGGAGGCTGCGGCTGGGCCGCGAAGCGCTTCCGCCTCCGGTGGTGCAGCCGCTTCTTGTCGGACGCCGCCTCCACCGCCGCGCTGCCGCCGCCGCCGCCCCAGCCCCGGCTGCCCCCGCTCCCGCCGGCCGGTGCGTCCGAGGTACTCGGCATCGAGCTCGCTCACGGGCGAGGGCGCGGCCCAGGGAACCCGCCGCCACCGCCGCGCTCAGGGCGCCATGGGGACCCGGCGGCGCCGCGCAAACGCACCGGACGGACAACAGCGGGCCAGGCCGGGGCCTCGCTCGCTCCCGCACCGCCCGCCCGCCTCACATGAGGCAGCGCCGATACATACGGGATCGGACTGTGGCTGGGGCTGGGGACGCTGCCCGATGCGGCGGCGGCGAGGCACAGGCAGCAACCTACAGGCCGGTGCGGCCTCTCCCGCAACACGGAAGTGTCTCCCGGCGGCGGCGGCTCCTCCTCACTTCATTCCGGGCCGCGGCCGCGCAACGACACAGACACCGGGCGCTGGCCGCTTCCTCCTCTTCCCTCAGCCGCTCCCGGCAGGGCGGTTGGGTCAGGCCAGGCCGGGCCGACACCGGGCGAGATGTCCGGGGCCCTGCACGGCTCCGATCCCAGTTCTCCTCCCGGGCCGGGACCGCTCCCGCACCGCCGGTGGCCAGGAGCGCTCTCGCGGCCTGAGCGCCGCCGCGCGCGGGTGACACACGCACCGGCGGGGGGGGGGGACGCGGACACGGCCCGGCAACGCACGGCGCATGCGCGGGGCCGAAGGCGGGCGAGGGAGGGGAACGCGCCCCGCCAATCACGCGCGACACCACCGCCTTCGCCCGCATGCCCGAGAGCTGCCCCGCTCTCGCGAGACTTCATTTTTCCCTCCCCCTCGTCCCCGTCGTCTCTCGCGGCACCGCGCCTCTCGCGGTAACTGCGCCACCAGCCCCGCGGGCGGTGGGAGGGGGCAGTTCCGGGCCAGGGGATCCGAGATGGCGCTTGGTGGGGAGTGAGCCAGCGGGAGCTGAGCGAGGCCCAAGTTAGAGGTGCTCGGCGCCCCAGGCCCTCTCCTTGTCTGTCTCCCGACGCTCTGTGGAGGCAACGGGTAGAAAACGATGCATAGGAAGTTCCACCTGAATATGAGGAAGAACTTTTTTACTGCGTCTAACCGTCCACCGAAACAGGCTGCCCAGAGAGGGTGTRGAGTGTCCGTCACTGGAAATGCTCCCGAGCTGTCTGGACTTAATCCTGTGTAATGTGTTCTTGGATGATCCCGCTTAACTAGAAAGGTTGGACCATTTGACCCACTGTGGTCCTTGCCCACCTCTCCTCACCTCATTCTGTGAGCTGGAGCAGGGCGGGCGCCGCGTCAGGCTCTGGGAGGTGGTGTAGGAAACCTTCCTGTGCCCAGGTGGTTTTCCTTGCTTTTATTGTGCGCAGGCAGTACTGTTAAACTGCCTTATTAACTGGGGGGCGTTAGAGAAAATCGCTTCGGTTAAAACACGTGTGTAACTGAACAGTGCTTCAAGAAAAGTAATTTCTTCTTTGTTGTCTTACACTACTGAAACTAAGTTCAACTTAGTGTATTTTAGTTTTCCTTACAAACTTACGGATTTCTTGCTCTAATGAAAGACTAAAGCTCTTTTTTTCCTTTTTCTGCCTGCTCTATCCTTTTGCTTTTTCATGGATTTATTGAATTCCATGACTGGAGCTGCAGCTGCTGACTGTGCCTCAAGTCGGCTTCTGGGCTGTCTTCCATTAGGTACATCTGCTGTAGCATCTTGAATGTTGTCCTGAGGACTTTAAAAGCGGTAACTGTTGTCTTTCCTTAAGGATTTAATAGTCTTCAGGCCACCTTGCTGTCTAGCCGTTGTTAGCTAGTGTATATACACACTGTTTATAAAACATGATGCAAAAATAAAAACAAAACAAAACAAAGGAACCTACCCATTTTTCACTGTTGTGTTTCAGTTCCTTGAATCACTCTGTTTACTCTCCTTTTCTAAACGCAAGCAAAAATAATACTCCTGTCCAGATCTTGTGTGTCGTCCGCTGTCCATATCTTTCATAAGTGTGTTCCATTCCTTCACCTCTCTGTTCCAACTCACATTTCTTCCAAATGTTGTCATCAAGGCACTCATTACATATTTCTCTCGTGTGCGTGCACTTTCCTTCAGGCTTCCTGTTAAGGCATGTGTTATGTGTAAACCAATGAAGTCCCTTTATTCTATTCTCTGGCAATGTCTCSTAGAATGGTGAAGGAAAGAGCCTGATGTGCTGGCCCACCCACTATTTCAGGAGAGAAGGTCCCCGTCCAAGAAGGCTTACTCTGATCTAGGCAGTGATGCATTCATACTTTGAGAAATTGTGGGTTTTTACCAGCATGCTGTGCCTCATGGAAGTACTGCGCGTCTGCCTGCTGTTGGGGAGTAGCTTGTTTTTCCATAGTGGCCTGGAGGCTGCTCTCAGTTTTGCTGATATCCTTTGCTGCTTACTATGTATGTGAGCATTCAGCAACTATGAACAAGTTCTCCAGGGTTGCAGCACATTCAGCAATGCCAGTGTGCCATCAGGCTTCTGGCATTGAAAAAAAAAAAAAAGTAAAACCTAGAAAGCCAACAACCCAACTCAAAATACATCACAGAGGCAGTTGTAGAGACAGTGGATAATTACGCAGGGCAGATCTGGACAAGGCAACACAGGCTGCAATTTCTAATTTACTCCCAAGCATTAGCTGGCATTTCTGGAGCAGGGATATGTTATTTGAAAGAGTTGTGTCATGAGCAGTAGAGTGCTCATGGTTTGGCATGTGGAGCGAATCTCATGACTTGTCAGAGAAGCTTAACTAGAAGCTAAGCTGCTAATGACAGCAAGTTTACTCTGCCTGGAAATGGGCTACTCCAGGTTGTAGGGGGATGTGCCAAGAGCAATCATGTCAGCTGTCAGTTGACAGGTGATAGCAGCATAGGATTTGACAGTGAAAACCTATCCATGAGTTCCTGACACAACAAAACAGATCTGAAACAAATTCCTTACAGAGAATAAAATCCTTCAGAAGCATAGAGGACATTGATGGCATAGTGCCAACTGTTGGATTCATAAAGAGCCGAAAATTCAAGATGCATTACAACTTGTTTCCACAAGGCTTAGTGTGGAAGAGCAAATAGTAGGGAGAAGGGGCACCGGATTAGATTTCTGGCAGTGGCACCTGCAGTGGTGTGAGAAGCAGTGCTCTGAAAAAATGGTTGCTCCACAAGCTGAAACCTTGTGCCATACGAATGTTGGTTGCAGGTATCTCATATCTTGCAAGGTATTATCATACATGAAAATAGTGGTAAACAATAATTAAAGAAAAACCAGCTGGAAAGTTGCAGCCAAAATACTGTCATCTCCAAAAAGTATTTTCCATGCCAGAAATTCAACCCTYAGAAAAGCACTTCCCTACAAACCATCCCATGGAGGGAACTTGGACTAACACTTAGGTAATTGAATTATATTTAAGGAAAAAAGCCCCTCAACTTATACTCTGTTTTTTATTCAAATACTTTGTTGCATCTGCGCATTAAGCACATTGGGTCTGTTCTGAGCAACTGTTCACCATTTTCAGTGTAACACAATTGGTACAAATAGATGCCAAGCTGGATAAGGAGGAGGCTACATGTCATGGGTAATCTCACCCTAACCTTTTGTTAAGGTTTTTGTCGTACTTTCCTTTTTTATTAAAGTTTCTRTGTCCTGTCTGTGCCACCATGTGTAAAAAGCCCTTAGAAACATCCTTCTGGTGCAGAACAATCTGTCAATCCATCAAGATAAAAAGAGATAGGTAAGGTCTTCAGTAGTTTGAGGATCTTTATTTTTCAGAAGAATTCCTCAGGGCTTGTTTGTTGACTTGGTAGGCATTTTTCTTTAAGGATGGTTTTGGCTGGTTGGGGTTCTTTCTTGAGGGAGGGGTAAAGCTGTCTGGTTTGCGCTTTCTCSCAAGCAGTAACATGTACCTAGAGTTCTTTGAAGTTTTGTTTTCAATCTTCCAGGATCAACCTGTGTTTTCTCCTACAAGAACAATTTCCCCTAAGCACACAAAGAAATTAATTTTTCTAGCTTTTTTTTCTGTTGTTTGGTTGGTTTTTTTAGATAAATATGGAAGTCTTAGGAGACATTTTTACTCTCTGAAGTACTGTATGCTTTCACATGTCTTCTAACCATTTTACAAAAAATAGCCTGTTGCCTGCATATACTTGTGTGGAGTAGTTTTTGTTACTACCTCTGCTATTTCTTTGCTGCAACTGTATTTGTATCTTGCCCTAAGATTGTTTATTGACTAGAGGGCAATAATTCATGTTTCCCAAGGCCCCATGGAAAAACTCACTAGATTAAATATATCTATATTTGTTCTTCTCAACAAGGAAAATGTTGCAATGGTCTGGGAACTCAGCTGTTGATAAAAACAGAGAAGGATAAAGATCTGTGTACTGGTAGGACATAAGTGGACTTACCATTGAAATCTCAAATACAACCCAGACACTTGAAGGGTTGAGAAAAGATTAATTTGTATTAATTTTGCTGTATTTAAGTCACTATTAGATCACTGAGTCTATCTCTTCTGGTCATTCTTATTCAGAGAAAAACGAATTCACAACAGGAGCAGACAATATGAAGATCATCAGTGAACCGAAATCCCCGTTTCAGAGGAGACTGGCAGAGCATGATTTGTCTAGCATAACAAAGACAGGAAATTACAGTGTTTTGTAAATTCAGTTTGAGGATAGAAAAGATGTCCCTGGCCATGGCAGGGGGGCTGTAACTACRTGATCTTTAAGGTCTCTTCCGAGCCAGGCCATTCTGTGATTCTATGGAAGGAGATAAACACCTAGAAAGAGTGACTGTCCTAAGAGACAGAGTTAGTGCAGGCAGTTACAAACATCACGGCTTTTTGTCTTTTGAGCCCAGTCTCACCTGAAACACGTTTATTACCTGCTGCTGAGACACAGTTGCCTCTCACCCCAATTCCTTTGGGAAAGCAATCTATTTATGTTTTCCAAATCCATCAGGGTAGAACTTAAGTGGTTGAATTGCTTAGTGATTTCATCCATTGCTGAAGCAACTTTAACAATGGATGGAAAGGTATATGCTGTCCTCCACAAATGCACTGCACAGATGACTTTTCAGATTTTTAACTACAAAGTTCACAAATATTCAGATCGTCCCATTGCTTCATTCAGTATGCATTTCCTCTGCTGATTGAGCCCTGCTGAAATGTACTAAAATCTTTTACTCAYGCAAGCATGCTGGAGCCACCTGAGGGTGCAGTTTCATGTGAGGGCTACTTTGGATTTGACACCAAATGCTTGGTCTCTAGAAAAAGATCTGTGACTTGTTTGAAGCCACAATAGCTCCCTACACAAATGCTTTGGCAAACCATTTTGCAGAAAAGTTTCCCTAGAGGTCAGCATACCAAAGAGCATGAAGCCAGACCCTGAGCTGCTGCTCTTGGGGCAGTTTTTAATTCTAAAAGTCAACTAAAGTAATTCATGTCGTTCCCCACTCAAACTTTGGGTAAAAGCTAACATTTTTATCAACTTCATACTGCCTGGGAAGATGATACAATAACCCTAGACATAATGTAGAGAATTCTGCCTCAGAAGTTAGGGGAGGTTAACTTTTCAGAAGTGTCAGCCATTCAGAGCAGACAGCCTGTATGATGTACAACAGATTGTCTCACTGCTTTATTTCTGCTTTTCCAATAATAAGTG